TTAAATAGAAAATCCTTTGCTTGGTATTCAAAGCCCTTTGTAACCTAACCCTGCCTTCCTCCCCCACCCCCACCTTTCCAGTCTTCTTCTACTCTTAAATCTTTGCTCTAGAGTGTTCCACAAACAACTCTCCATCTCTGGGCTCTGGGCATTTTTTCTGCCTGTCCCCCATGCCTAGAACGCTCTGCCTCCTTATCTCCGGCTCCTGGCTTCCCTTGGGGCCTAGCTAAAAATCTCATCTTCTACAAGAAGCCATTCCCAACCCCTCTTAATTCTAGTGCCTTCCATTTAAAAAACTGATTTCCTATTTATCCTGTAGATAGCTTGTTTGTATTTATTTGTTTGTTTGCCATCTCCTTTTAGACTGTGAACTATTTGGGGCAGGAACTGTTTTCTGTCTCCTGTATCCCCCCGGCTTAACACAGTGTCTGGTGCTTAATAAATGTTTAGTGACTGAGTGTGAACCTCAAAAAATGAGAGAATTGGAGCTGCAGCCATCACTAATGATGTTGGGGTCCCATGTTATTAATGTATAATATGAGGATGATGAAGAGTTTAATCTCTAAGGTCTCCCGGATATTTTTTCCTGTGACACTGGGCATGTCATATTTCTTCTCTGAGCCTCCATGTCATCTCTGAAACGGGGGTAGAGATACTTACATAGGGTTGTTGCGAAGAAAGGGCTCTGTAAACACTAAAGCCTTAGAGAAATAAACTGTTATTACAGTGAAGTCCTTCTCAGCTCCTGCGGTCTATGACCTTAGACTGTCTTTGGTACCCCATGGGCCGTGCGCAAAGCCAAGGACAGTCCCCTAGGCAGGGGACCCCATGGGAAACTGAGACCTCAAGCTCTTTCCTTTTCCACCTGCCACCTGGGGTGGCTTGGTAGCAGCTGGAGCACTGGAACTCCTAGGCCTCGCGACTGGGAAGAAGTTACAGAGTGAGAGATTTGGGTTCCAAAAACGCACAACCAGGAGAGCTGTCCCAGAGCGGAATTGGCTGTCTCAGAAGGGAGTGAGGCCACCACTGTTGGAGGTCTTTCTTTGAGCAAAGGCTGGTTAACCACCTGTTGTGTAGAGCAGGTCCTTGTTCGGGTCTGGGTTGGGCTAGATGCCACAGACATCTCTGTGAGCTTCTGGGATCCTGGGATGAAGAACACTATGAAGCCGGTCCCTGGGCATTTGATGCATTTTGTGTACAGAGTGCCCATCTGTTCTGCATCCTTTTAACGGCTCCCTCTCTACCCAGGCTAGCCAAATTAGGGGACGGTTAGGACAAATGAGATGCTGCATGGTGGCTCATGGTCAGTCGGAACCCTGTCTGCTGTGCCATGCGTGACATGACAATTATCAAGGGACACAGAATTTTAGGAGGAGCAAGAATCATCTTCTTGTCCAAACCATTCCTGAATAAGGTTCCCTTCACAACATCCCCACTATATGGGATTAACTATCCTTGGCATGAAAACCTCAAGAGGGTAAGGCTGGAAGGCAGGGGAGGGAGGAAATTTCCTATCTTCCAAAGTCACCTGTTTCATGATTGGAAAATTCTCTTTCTTAGGAAGTTTTTCCTGACACCAACCAGAAATTTGCCACTTGCCTCAATTGGTTCTGCCCTCTGGGGCCAAACTGAGCACGTTTAATTGCTTTTCCACATGATTACCCCTTCAAATACTTGAAGACAGCTCTTCTGTCTCCTCAAGGTCTCTTCTCCAGGCTCGACAGCCCTCATCCATTCCTTTAGTCTTCACACGGCATGACCTCGACCTTCCAGCTGTGGGCTTGCCATAATGCATCCTTTCCTCACTCAGGTTCCATCAGAGTAACAGGTCTTGGAAAAAGCGTGCAGCAACACATCACGCCACTGGATTGGGGAGGTGGCTTTCTGTTAATAGGGTTGGACCTCCATTTAAAATTGATGTTCTTTGGAAAAAGGGGTGACAGCTCCACTGGCCCTCAGATCTGGCCAAACTCTTAGCATGTAGAAGTGTGGTGTCATCTCCAGCCTTCAGAGTAGCCAGTGTACAGGTCTGGAGAACGGCTCAGAGGAAGATAATGATATGACTTAATTAGACTGGAATTAGGAGGTCTTTTAAAGACTTGAAAACCTTCGGAGGGGGCTGCTGCTGGCCCTTCCTTAGTGGGCAGAGCAATAATGCTCCTTTTTAAAATCTCTGTGGGTCCTCACTAGTGGGCTGAGAAGTAGCAAGAACAATTTATACTATAATATAAATATCATAAAAATGAACCATTTTGAGGATTTTTAAAAACAGATGAAGAATGAAATGAGCAGAGCCAAGAGAACAATTTATATAATAACAACATCACTGTAAAAACAAACAACTTTGAAAGCTATAAGAACTGTGATCAATACAATGACTGTTTATGATTCCAGAGGACAGAAGATGAAACATACTATCCATTACAGAGATGTGACAGAATTAGGGTGTAGAATGAGACATATATGTATTTTTGCATACAGCCATTGAGGGAATTTGTTTTGCTTAACTATTCACATTTGTTACAAAGAATTTGTTCTTCTTTTTCCAGTGGGGAGAGGGAGTAGGAGAAAAAACAGATTTGTTAATTAAAAAAAAAAGAGAAGTGTGTGTGTGTGTGTGGGTGCTGAATGTTGTCTGCACTTTCTGATGAAGTCACTGTATTATTAGCTTTACTTAATTGTTTTGTTACAAGACACTCTCTTAAGGAGTGGGAGTAATCTGTAAATGTTTGTAATGTAAATTCCAGTGGCTCCCTATCACTTTCAGGATCAAATGTAAAATCTACAGATAGGCGTTCAAAACCCTCCAGAACTTGCCCTCCCCATCTTCTTGCACCTTATTCCCTGCACCCACTTTAGGAGCCAGTGAAAATGTCCTCTTTGATCTCCTTTGAACAAGACACTGAATTTCCTGCCTCTCACTGACTCCATTCTCACTGGCTCTCCTCAGCGCTTGGAATGCTTTCTCTACCTCCTGGGGTCTGTCAAGAACCAGCCAAAATTCCACCTTCTACCAGAAGCCTATCCCAATCCCCCCCATATTCGAGTGCCTTCTGTCTGTTGATATTTCCAATTTATCCTGTATATAATTTGTACATAGTTGTTTGGTTGTCCCCTACCTTAGATGGGGCACTCCTTGAGAGCAGCGACTGTCTTTTGTCTTTTTTTTTCAGATCCCTGAGCTTAGTACAATGCCTGGCATATAATAGATGCTTAATAAATATTTATTGATTTAAATCAATGAAACTTTTTTTTTTTTTTGAAACAGCCAAGTGGCCCGGTTTTTGCTTGGAGCTGAGAGGCATGTACAGCTTAGTATCAAGGTAGTCCCAACTGGGTCCAGGAGTGGTAATCAATCTGTGTCCTATATAGGAATGCTTGTGGGTCTTGCATCTTTAGGGTTATTGTTAATAATTATACTCTTAATTTATAGAAATTGTTGATGATTTGCATATTTTTCCTAGGCTTAACCTGTTTCCATTCTAAGGCCAGAAACTTGATGGTTTTCATTAAATCTCTCCCTCTCTATAAAGCAAAACTGTGCTTATTTTGGGGGGTTCAGTCAACCAGTCACCCTACTGCCTATTTCTTAGAAGATTCCAAATTGCTGGTTGGGAAGAACAGAGGCCAGCTGTACCCCAAAATCTGTTCTGTGGGGCATAGTCATTTTAACATATCTGGCAGATGAGTAGAGAGTTAAAAGAGAGAAATGCTTTTTTGGTTGATGGATGGCAGTGCTCTCAAATGCTACATAGTGGTGTTAGGCCTTGGCATGCTCCCAAGACTGATCCACTCCTAGGTGAACTTCTGAGGTGCCTCCTGAAATATTGTGGAAAGCAGGAAGGCCTCTCCAGGTAAATTGTCATTTTATGTATATGTAACCAGGTGAATCTCTTGAAGAAATGTAAGATTACACACCAGTATATTCGGTAATATTAGATTTGGGAGGGTCCTCAGGGATCCTCTAATTGAGCTCATACCTGAGGTAAGTGGCTACCCCACTTTGGTGTGAAGAGGGCTCACTACCTCCTGAGGCAGTCCAGTCCGGTTGTGGGCAGTTCTCACTGTTGGGGTATTTTTCCTGAAATCAAACTGAAACCTGCCGAAGCAGAAAAAGTCACATTTGGACGGCAACTATGCCAATGCTTGAAGCCAGCTATCACGGCTCTGCTCCTGGCCCCCCAGCCATGCCTTCTCTTATTCACAGTGACTCAAAGGCAACGTTGGATACCAAGTTCAGGAATGTGCACGCTGTCCCCTCCTTGGTCAGTGGGTAGGTGTGGGTGGGACCTGGGATACTCAGCTGATTGACAGAAGGAGCAAGAGCTCCCATCATCATGTGCTCTTTTATTTCTGCCTTGATAATAATAATACGAATGATAGCTAGCATTCAGCTAGGGCTTACTATGTGCCAGGTACTGTGCTAAGTGCTACAATTACTACTTCTTTTGATCCTCACAATAACCCTGGGAGGTAGGTGCTATTATTATCCCCATTTTACAAATGGAGAAATTGAGGCAAACAGGGGGGAAGTGACTTGCCCAGAGGCACATAGCTAGGAAGTATGTGAGGTTGGTTATGAATCTGGGTCTTCTTCACTCCAGGACTGGTGGTCTATCCGCTGCACCACCTAGCTAAGCCCCAGCTTTCTCTGAGGTTTGGCGTAAATGCAATCCTTTACATGGGCCTTTCCTCATCCCTCCAGTTCCTGATCTTTCCCCACCAAACTATTCTGCATTTACTTTTCTGCGTACACATCTGTTTCCCTCAACAGAGTGTAAGGTCCTTGAGGGCAGGGACCGTTTCATTTTTGTCTCCATATTCCCATGCTTAGTATTATGTGCATAATAAACATCTTGCTCAAAGAATGAATGACTAAAAACTGTGCTTTGGGGAAAACTCCTGCATTTTTGTAGATGTTACTTTCTGGTGCCCCACCAGGATAGGAGGAATCATACCATGGTTTAGGCGTAGTAGGTAAAGTACATTTTAGTAGCGACTTTAGTGTAACTGCAAATTTATTTTATGTTTCTAACGTCACCGAAGAGGTACAATTTAGGAACGCCAAAGTCCCATTCTGCTACATTAAAAAACATAGTTCCATAAAAAAAAAACGCCCTCATTCAACTCCAAGGTTGGATAAATACAATACAGATGATGAAATGTTGGGGTTTTACATCATATCTAACGGTGACTTAGCACAGCAATGCTGCAAACCAGAAGCTTCCAGAAACATTCCACCTTCCAAGAGTCAACAGACAGAACAAAAACCCTGCTAGGAGGTCCCAGGCATGGACAACAACTCTTTACACTCTAATACAAAAGCAGTGATCGCATTGAGGATATTCTGTGAACACAAGGGAACCGACAGAACCAGGGAAGCTGAGATCCACACTGGAGCCACACTGCAGCCTACGGAGGGAGGGGAGTACCCAGTGTGTGTCAGTCCAAATGAGAAGGGGCAGACTGGCCCCACCAACCAGATGATGATGGACAGACCTCTCGAGCTGAAGGACAGAAGAGAATAATGCTGTATTTCTACATTGTAAGCAAGTCACCGTGTGTCTTCTAGAAGTGGAAAACCCTTGGTCTGGGAAGGCAGGAAAAGGGTCAGCAGCAAAATGCTTCAAGTCCCTGTTTGTATTGGAACTGCCCTTCTTCTGGCCAGGTTTTTGGCTGGGAGTGGGGTGTGGTTTCTCTATCTACGTGGCCAGAGCAAGGGGCTGTGAAAGGTGGGTCCCAGGTGAGAAACCTCTTTGGAGGCCCGGAAGAAAGACTCATGTCTTGGCTCTGCCGACAACTGCCCCGGTGGCTGAGGGTGAGGACCCAGACTTCAATGACTACTTGCGTGTGGGGTTACAAATGAAGATCCGGGCGAGGCGGGACAGGCAGCCTAATGGGAGCCTAAAGGTGGATAGTTTTCTTTGGAGTTGAGAATATTCAAATCAGGACCTTGACTATCACGAGTTACATAAAAACAGATGTGGAAAAGTATTCCAGGATTAAAAAAAAGTTTGAATCACAGTAGATGCTTAGATAGTGCATTCAATTCACTAAACCCTTAAGCCTGCTGATTAAAATACATCAAAACTGTTTATCTGCAGGTTCAAACACTGAGTGTCTTCTGAGCTGAGCCGATTCAGGTAAAGAAGAGGAGATGTTTTGCTTATGCCAGGTATCAGAAGCAACGCATTTTCAATGCCAGGACCAACTTCTTTTACTTGCAAGTGGGAATCCACTGTTTGACTGGTACTCAAATGTCAAGTGGAATGAAGTCAAGACTTCCTTGTCACACTGTGTGTACACTAAGGCTGTGTGTGCACGCTGTTTGCTGGTGACACAAACAAAGTACATCTGAACCCAGAAGCAAGCAGGTTCAGACGGGTGGTGAAGTGAAGGAAGAAAAGAAAAATGAGGGGAGGGGGAAGGGAGGTTGGGACAACCGCGTCCATCCGTGGTGAGCACATCGAAGGCTGGTGCCTCATGCTCAGGAGGGCCGACCCCAGACGCCCCCGGGGGACGGCTACAGGCTGCCTTCTCAGAGTATTTAAATATTCACATCATGCACAATTGTGGCAGGTTCACACACCGCAACATCATGGAAAATACTTTCTACACTGAATCAGGAGTAGGATCCAAAGCAGAGCTGGAAAATAAATATCTTGCATATATCTCAAACTCTATTCTTCAAACAAAACCTTACAACTCATCAAGGAAGTCAGAAAAAGGCCTGAGGCAAGTCCAGTGCCTTCCTCTACAACACTGTTTCATCTCTGAGGCTGAGAACAGAACATCACATGGAGATCTCCGGTGGAGGTGGGTGGGGACTGTTCTCTCTGGCCTCCTTAACTTAAGTGACAAAGTCAGAATGCAGACCTGGAGATGAAGTCAGACGCATGGGTTAGGTAGGGTTCGGGTAGAGGCCTGGCTCGATGAGGCGTGTCAGATACAGCATCCTACATGGCAAGAGGCAAGATGGCCTCACTGGAGACTTCACGGGGTCTGGCTGGGGGGCAGGGGAGGGTCAGAAGCATCAGAATTCTACTAACAATCACTCACACAGGAATGGTGCATTAATTCTAGGACAAATGCTGCAGGGGCTGGGCGGGGACAGTGTTCGTGGTAGGACATTCTCCTGTGCTTGTGCAGCCAGGGCTGAAAACATATACTCATGGATGGGAAACTTTATGTAGCTACGTTTATTATTCTTTCCAAGATTCTTGCAAGAGGCAGAGATGTGAGACACTGAGTGGAGTTGGGTGAAAGGGCAGGGCGGTTTGGAGAAGAGAAGCATTTCTCTTGACTCGGGGCCACAATCCTGGCACGGAATGGCCAGTCTGACAGGCAGCTTCCCGTTACTCTTTTGCTTCCAGGAAAAGGGTTTCTTGAGGAAATAGCTTTACCTCCAGTAATGACTTGTTGGGATCCAGCTGGGTGACCTGAAATGAGAGAAAGCCCACGTTAAGAGGGTGACAGAATACAAGTTGACATTTCTATCACACTTAAAGACTTATAATGTACTCTCCTGCACCCTCACCTCCCTGTGAGGTGAAAGCTGTTATCTCTGTTTTACAGAGGAGGAAACGGAGGCTGAGAAAGGGGAAGTGATTTCTGGGGAAAGGGGTGGCATAGGGTGTGTCACTCAGCTTTGAGGGGACAGAGCCAGGGTTTGAATCTGTGCGGTACCAAAGTAGCACTTCTTGGTCCTTTTACATGATGAGTGTGCAGTACCATCTTTATAGGCATGGCTGGGTACCCCCTGGCAAGGTTCCTTCTGGGGCCGTCTAACACCTGCGTCTGCAGAGCAAGTCTCATCAACACAGTATTTCTCCCATGGGAATTCTGTGCTCCTGCCCTGGCTGGTTCAACTCTCCCTACCAAAACCCAGAGCTCCACACAAAGTGTCCTCCCCCAAGGCCCTCCCCATCGATCTGAAGGAGATGACACATCCCACCTCTCCCCCCACCCAGAGAAATACAGAGACTCATATTGATGACCAAGGTCTTCCCAATGTCCCAGGCCCAGCCCAAGGTCACCTGCTAAATACTGCACCCAGTCTTGGCACACCCACACTGGGTTTGGTTTACTACCAATGCTCACATGTTACCACTGCCTACACTGGAGTGTAGATCCCTGACAGGTGCTCAACTGTCTATATCCCCTGGGCCAGTCATTCCCTTTTCTTGGACTGTGCTGGGTTTACATCAAGAAGCTATCTGCTCTACATTGCTGAACCCATCTCTCCCATGGCAGCTCTGTTTCTATTAAGGTAGCACAGGGTCACCTTAGCTCTTCTGGCTGCTGGGGAACATCCTGTCCAAGGTACTCAGTTTGGTGTTCAGGGACCTCCTCAATTTGGAGCCACCAGACCTTTGAGGCCTTGTCTCATGTCGCCCCCTCCATGTGCTCTACGTTCCCCAGCCCCTGGACCTTCCTTATGCTGTCCTCTCTGAATACCTCTCCACCGAATTTCCATCCACCCTTTAAGCCATCTCTTCACTCAGAACTCACAGAACAATTTGAACCTCTCTAATGAACTTGCAAAGTGTTTTTGTGTATCATAGTTAACCGTGTCTGTGTTGTCTTCACCTACAGACTGTAAGCACAAAGAGGGCAAACAACTTTTGCATGAAGTATGTGGGGAACAGTCATGGCTAATAAGGCTGAATAACAGTGTGGGACCTGGTCATGGAGGGTCTTCAATGCCAGGCCAAGGAGTTTGGGCTTTATCCTGTGGACAAGGAAATGAAGGTTTCTGAGCAGAGGCCTGGCAAAATGGGCTTGGTATATTAGGGGTAAGGACGGGACCTGCGCTCTCACTGGTCTAGAGGACGCCCCACCCACCCAATGCATGCTGACCCCTCTGCAGCTCCTAGTCAGACAGCTGTCTAGAGCACTAAGAGATTAACTGCTTTGTCCAGGGTCATAGCAAGGTGGAACTTGAACCACGTCTTCTTGACTCCAAGGCCTTCTCTTTGCTGACCATACCATGCTACCTCTACTGCCAGGAGAAGCAGGACTGGTAATGGGGAGAGGGAAGAGACTTATGGTGAGGGGATCTGTTTAAGAGAAAACCAAGAGACTAAAGATAATACTTGCTCTCAGGTACCGAATGATCTCATTACTTCAGAGTTCCCATCTGTCCAACTTTTTAAAGGGCTGTAGAATGCAAGTGGTGTTGGGGTGGTCATGCAGTAAAATGGAAGATAAGGTCATAATCCTGTGTATTTCACTGGGATCTATGAGATCCAAAAGAAATCAGAGGAAAGCTTTTGGCTGCTGGGTGGCCCATCACTGAAGGATTACTACAAACATATGGACAAGACTTTCATAGGCTGATAAAAGGGGAAGAGGTTGTGATCTGTTCGACACTTTTATCAATGATTTGGAGGCAAGTATAAATAGCTCATTTATCAAATCTGTAGATGAAAGGAAGCTCGGAGGGACAGCTAACAAGCCTGATGCCAAGAGTCAGGATCCACAGCCACGTTACAATGATGGCTCAAATTAAATAAGATGAAGTTTCTTCAATGCACGATGCCGTACTGAAGACAACATCTTATTTCTCCGGGTACTTCTTCTATCAGAGGAGATCACGAGGCATCTGTGGCTTCTTTTCCTGGGACAGTCTCATCTCTTCTTCCGTTGGTGAACTCCTCACAGGGACAGGGCTCTAGGCAGTCAACCTTCATTGCCCTCCTGGCTCCAATTCTGACTTTCTGTACTTTCACACCACATTCTTGATTTGGTATCTCCTCCTTCCCCCTGGCTTTTTGGCTCTCAGGGCAGGGACTGTCCTTCTGCTTCTATTTGTATCCCCAAGCCTAGCACAGTGCCTGGCACAAGTTGGTGCTTAGTAAGTGCTCTCCTATGAGTCATGCAGTATTCTGGGTCCTTCTGGGGCCACCCTTCTGCCCTAGGGTGACAGGCCAGGCCTGCCTCCTTCGCTAGGTACACACTTCTTCCATGATATCCCTGACACTGCTCCTTGCACACAAGTTATCATCAGAATCATGCTGTGGCCATCACTCATCTCTACTGAATCATTTGCACCTTGGGTGTTTAAAGAGTGTGGTGCTCTGAAATCCACAGAGCATCACTGGGAGGATAATTTTGTTTAGAAAAAAAAAAAAGATAAGTTTTTGAATCAATGAGCAGTTTGGGAATACTGAAAGTACTATATAATTTCCCAAATATATTCCAGCTTATCCTCTTTCTTCTATTAGATTACGGGCCCAAATAATGCAGTGTTTGTTTGAGAGACACATATGCTGATGGATGAACTCAACTCAAGGTCATAGTTTGGAAAATGGACACTCTTCCTCCTCCCTTTTCACAAAGAATAAGGTGGTTAAAGAAAGGTAATGTGATCAATACTAGTGATTTACAACTGAACTTATTTGCTTGAATACCATTGCTCCACCTCACCCAAATCATGATCATTGGTCTTCCTTTTAAATTCCTTCTATCATTATTTTTATTGCACTATGGTCAGTAAACAAAGTGTTAAACATTTATGCTTTTCTGAATTTGTTAATGAAATTCCTATGCCCTAGTATTCCATCAAACATTCAAAGAACAATTCTAATATTACATAAGCTATTTACCAAAATAGGAAAGAAGGGATCATACCAAATTCCTTCTATGATACAAATAAGATCTTAATGCTTAAACCAGAGAGAGATAAGACAGAAAGAATGTTATAGCCTAATATCCTGAGTGAGCATCAGCACCAACAGTTTTGAATAAAATATTAGCAAATAGTCTATAGGAACATATTAAAAAGATTATGCACTATGGCCAAGTTGAATTGAAATGCAGAGTAACTTCAATATTATGAAAATTATAAAAAATATTAGTAATAAAAACAAAAGTCACATGATGATATCAGTAAATATAATCTTTCTCTTTACTCTTTCTTGATGACCTAGCTTGATGACCTCATCAGCTCCCATGAATTAAACTATCATTTCTATGCTGATGACTCCCAGATCTAAAAAAAAAAATAATAATAGTATGAGCAAAAGAACAAATATTTATTAATTACCCACTATGTGCCAGGCACTGTGCTAAGTACTTCACAAATATTATCTAACGTGATTCTCACAACAACCCTGGGAAGTAGTTGTGTTATTACCTCCATTTTGCAATGGAGAAAATTTGAGGTAGACAGATTAAATGACTTGTCCAGGGTCACACAGCTGCCTAATGATAATAGCTAACATTTACATAGTGCTTAAAGGTTTTCCAAGTCCTTTATATATGTTGTCTCAATTAATCTTTACAATTACCACATTATTATTTCCATTTTATAAATGAGGAGACTGGGGGTAAGAGAGATTAAGTGACTTACTTGCTCACATTCATACTGCTCTGGGGCAGGATTTGAACTCAGGAGGTTGCAAAGAGAAGGAAAAGTATAAGAAGATATGACAGAGGGAAGTCACAATTAAAAGACATAACTATGGGTGTAAGTGGTATAAACTCACCAAGGAAACAGAAGAGAATGATAGAATGGATTAGAAAGCAGAATCACACAATATGCTGCTTACAAGAAATATCTCTGAAACAAAAAATTTTCATAGAATAAAAATTAGATTCTGGAGCTACAGTACAAGGCACCATGGGTGATGAAATATCAGTATTTAATAAATATACATCACATGGCACTGTTTCTAATTACTTAAAAGAAAAGTTCATTAACTTCAGGAAAAGTAGACAGCAAAACCAAAACTGTGGGAACTTCAATCCTTTCAGACCTAGCCAAATCTGACAAAAAATGTAAACTCCACTATCCCCACTTATTCCTCATTTCTTCCCTAGTATATTTCTTTACCTCTTTATTTTCTTTCCCCTCTTATGGCCATCAAAACAGAACAAAACTACCTACAGGCACTTATTGTCTTTTTTTTTTTCCAGTTCTGAAGCAACACTCTCAAGAGACCCTATTCTTCATCATAATTTATCCCCTTCTGCTTGTTCAAATGTATTTACTTTTTAAGGTTTCTTTTGGCTCCTGAGCTTTCATTTTAAAGTATCTACTGAGCTATGGACTTTTGATCAAGAATGCTCGAAAATCTCCTATTCCAGTCAGGGTCTAATTACCCCCATACAGGAAGTCTTTAAGGGCTATCATGGTAAGTCTTTGTCTTTTGCCCTGTGGAATATTGTATTGCAAGATTTCCTGGCTTTTATTGCAGTAGCTGCCAAGTCTTGTATGATCCTTGACTGTGGTTTCTTGGCTCTTGGATACTTGCATTGTTTTTTCTTTGACCTGAAAGCTTTGGATGTTGTTTATGACATTCATGGGAGTTTTTAATTTTGCAATTTCTTTCAGCAAGTGATTAATAGATCATTTCCATTTTCACTCTGCCCCCTCTGGTTCTTACAGATTTAGGTAGTTTTCACTCATGATATCTCAGAATATGGTATCTGTAAT